TGCATGTATGTGCATATGTAAATAGTATATGTATATATATATATATATATATGTGTGTGTGTGTGTGTACATAAATATACATCATATCATTCATCTGCATTCATATACACATACACACAATTATATGCACACAGACAATCACCAAACTGTTAGCGGAGGATGCCATCTCCGACCGTCTGTGCGCTGATGTGTTGGAGTTTCTGGCGGTGGTCTCGTTGAGTGGAGAGACAGGTCATGCCCACGCACTTGACGCTCTGCAGTTCTTGAAGCTAGTGGACAAGGAGCAGTTCAGGTATAGTGAAAGGGGTGTTAGTATGTGTATATATCATATATGTTCATGTACAAGGAGCAGTTCAGGTATAGTGAAAGGGGTGTATGTATGTGTATATATCATATATGTTCATGTACAAGGAGCAGTTCAGGTATAGTGAAAGAGGTGTATGTATGTGTATATATCATATATGTTCATGTACAAGGAGCAGTTCAGGTGTAGTGAAAGGGGTGTATGTATGTGTATCTATCATTTATGTTCATGTATAAGGAGCAGTTCAGGTATTGTGAAGGGAGTGTATGTTTGTGTATATATCATATATATATATATATTCATGTATAGGGAGCAGTTCAGGTTCAGGTGTAGTGAGAGAAATATGTTTATACGTCATGTATTGTGTAGCACTCTGTATGTATGGTTTTTGTGTATGTGTAAATTGGCAGTTGCACGCACTCGACTGAGATATACTTGTATGTATATATCTTAGATAGCACACTGTATTAGTGAGGTATATTTCTGTGTATGGGCTCATGTATTTGCGTGTATACGTGCATATACGTACTCAACTCGCTGCATATCTTTATATATACCTATTATCATAAACATCATATTCACACCAAAATCTTCTTCATGATTTTATACGCCCCAGGGCTATATGCACCTGCAAACCATCCCTGCCACTATGTATCATTCATTGTTATATGCACTTCTATATAAACGAATGTAACATGCATCCATATATTAGTTATTGTTATATGCACCTATATCTCACCTATATCTCACCTATTTTCACACGCACCTTTATATCAACCATTGTTATATGCACCTCAATATCATTCATGGTTATATACCCCTATATATCACCCATTTGTATGCACCTAAATTTCATCCATGCATATACACCTATATAACACCCATTGTTTTATGCACCTAAATATCACCCAGTGTTATATGCATCTATTGTTGTATGTACCTCTATATTAATCATTGTTATATGCACCTAAATATCACCCATCGTTGTATGCACCTAAATCGTATCTCCGTGAGTATATATATATATATATATATATACTTATTTCAGCCGTTCAATATGGACTGCAGGTTTCAGTACGTCATCAAACTGCTGCTCAAAGACAGTCCGGAACTTAGGGTGGCGTGCATGCAGATGATTAACTCAGTCACCAACGCACCGCACCTGACAGTGGACCATCGAGTGCACCTTAGAAACGAGGTGAGTTGTGTGAACATACTGCAGAGCCCAATGTATGCTGCTATCACACTGTGGCACTGCCCAGGTGTCTACGAATCTCTGTTCCTATTTTATTTTCTTAGTCGCCTTGCCAATTCACTTCCCGGCGTTGAATTTCTGAGGATTTAGGATGTACTTTAAAAATCTTTATGATTCTTTTTATAGATTTTGGCGTAGAATTCCTGATGATTTAGTAGATACTTTATAAATCATTATAATTCTATTCATAGATTATGGCCGCGGGGTTGAGGGGAGCGCTTCCTACGCTCAGAGAACATGCTGCAATAGACGAACAGTTGCGTACACACGTGGTACTATGGGAAGACAACTCTAAGTAAGTATTTTCTCCCATACATATATGTACATATAATATATATCTATTCGATATATTTATACATATATATAGTAGATGCAAAAGTATATTGCTAGCATACATCTGATATGCATCTTGTCAATATTTTTCGTATACGCACATTGCTTAAACGCATCTCATATGCAGATGGATCTATGTATCGCGCATACATTTTCCTTATAGAGGTCTTATACATATGTTGGTAATCTATCCAGTAAGAATATATATATATATATATATATATATATATATATATATATATATATATATATATATATATATATATATATACTATATATATATATATATATATATATATATATATATATATATATATATATATATATATATATATATAATA